GAACGGCCGTAGTGCTTGATTCATGATACGCATAAAGGTACTAGGCGCGTTGGAAAGCCTGAACGGCATGACCAACCATTCGAAAAGTCCTTCTCTTGTCTTGAACGCCGTTTTCCATTCATCCCTGGGGTGGATACGGATTTGAAGGTAGCCACTCTTAAGATCAATCTTCGAAAAAATAGAGGCCGTTCCAATTTGATCCAGCAAGTGGTCAAGGCGGGGAATAGGAAACCGGTAGCGGACTGTGATATTGTTAATTTCCCGGCTATCCACACACATTCGCCACAAACCATCTTTTTGGAATTAGCAAGGCTGGGACAGTGCAAGGACTAAGACTCTCGTGAATGTGCCCTTTGCGCAGCAAGTCTTCAACTTGATGTCGGAGCTCCTCGTGTTCTTGAGGGCTCATTCTGTAGTGAGCACGGTTTGGTAGAGCTGCACCTGGAGTCAAGTCAATTTGATGCTGAATATCCAGAGGGGAGGGAGACCCGGCGGTAGCTCTTCTGGAAAGATGTCGGTGAACTCGCGCAGCACGGAGTCATATGATGAAATGGTTTGGACGGACGTCGCCTACAGCGGTGAAGCAAGAGAGCAAAGGTGATCCCCTCTTGTTTGAACTCATCGTCAAAGGTAGCTACAGAACAGAACAGTGTCGAAGATGCTGCCTGTGGTGGAGGCGTCACGGGTAGAGGAGTCTCCAGAGTTGGCAGCAAAACAATGCGATATGTCTCCCAGTAGAAGCTGTAAGTATTCTTTGCTCCGTCATGGAAAATTTTTCGGTCAAATTCCCGAGGTCAACCCAAAATTAGGTGACTTACATCAATAGGAGCAACATCAAAATAGAAACGGTCCTTGTAGTGATGACCAATAGTAAAAGCGACCAAGGCTCGATGAGTGATGCGAATATCGACGCCATCTTGCATCCAACCAAGCGAGTAAGGAGTAGGGTGTGGTTCAGCCAGGATGTTCAAATTCTGCTCAACATACTCCGCCATAGTATTCCTCGAACTACCCAAATCGATAATGAACGTGCACACACGGTCTTGGATTATACACGATGAGCGAATGATGTTGTGTCTCAGCCAAGAATCTGTCCGGCTGGGTGGTGCTATACAGAGCCGCCGTGCTACTAACAACCTTCCCGTGTCGCCAGTTGTGTGAAGACCTTCCACGTTGTCCTCGTCTCTTCCATCTTCTTCCTAATCGAAAACTGGTGGTGAGTTATCTTGTCCGTCATCCATGAGCAGTCCACGACGTGTTTGGTTTGGACATGTCGTTTGACGATGTCCCGCCTCACCAAAAGAGTAACATCGAAGAGCATTGGGTCGAGTGGAACGGCGTAGCGGCTGTTCCTCCCGAGCTGCTTTGTTTGTCACCTCATTAGCGGTTCCAAGTTCTTTTATCGCGGTCGATGTGGTGGTTGTGCTCTGGTTGTATGGTCGTGTCTTGGCCGAAGGAGTAGACCATGATGGTGAGCGAAATTGGAGCTCAAAGGATGCAGCTCGACGGTGCGCTTCTGAAATTGAGGTAGGATCGAATTGCGACATCGCATTTTGTAGTTGTACTCTTAAGACACCAATGAAACGAGACACTAACTGGATGGGACTGTCGAAAATATCATTGCGAGTGACCAACAAATAAAATTCTTTGACGTATTCGTCTACGGATCGACTCCCCTGTTTCAAGTTCTGTAGCTTGTTGTAGATGGTGCGATCATAATTGTGTTTTAGGAACGTGGCTCGTAGTTTCTTCTTCGGTTTTTCCCATGAATGTATATAATCCTTCACCGTACGGCTGCGTGTGGCCTTTGTATGTTGCCACCATGATGCGGCGTGTCCGGGAAACCGTGTCGTAGCTAAGGCAACCTTGTGATCCTCTGGTACTTTCTTAAACTCGAGAATTTCCTCTACAACCACTAATCAATCAAGGAGAGAGTCGCAGCGAATCCCACCATGGAAATCTGGAATCTCCACTCGAAAGCTAGCTTTCCACCGTGTATCTTGAGCGTGGTTGTCTTGTTGCAGGAAATTCACTAACTCCCCACGATGTGCTCCCTCATGAGCAAACGGATTGTCCATGGCCCAAAAATTTTCTCCCCCTCGTCGGTGATGGCGATCTCCGAGACTGTGAACAAGCGTGTCTGTTAAATTTCGCATAGCATCCAGGAGATATGCTTGTAGGTTGTGTTTTGATGTCAACAGAGCATCACGAAACTCAGCCCAATCAGTCGTTGTCATCGTGTGGTGGCCGTCGTCTCCCTCACCTTTCTTGTTGGCTGGAGGCATGGCTACACGTTGACACAAATTCTCTCTAAGAACGAGATGAATCTGATACCAAATAATGTAGAGGCGTAAGCGGAAATGGTAAAAATGAACAGAAGGATATTGAGAGTCCTCCTCTCTAGCTTGACACAAGCTCTTTGGGCAAAGGTTTGCCTCTTTTTGGTTTTTTTCTTATAAATATCAAAAACTGACTCGAAACAAAGACGCAACAAAGTTTATAAAGCCCTAAACACCAACTAATAAGATAAAGCCAAATATAAGAAGGGATGGATATGTTAACATCCTTATATTAAAACAATGTCAAAATATCAAATGAAATTAAAAGATCAACTCCCATTTGGTCGATTGTGTAAAGCCCACAAGAGCAACGACCAAGCCCGATAAGAAGATGTGCTGCATCATTTATGCATGTCCTTATGTGATGGTAATACTTCATGTAGTTAACGAGACAATTATATTATTTACATGTGTAACAATGTGTTGGCGGATACTTCATGTAGCTGAGAATCATTTTTCCTTAAAAAATTCGACTCTAAATAAGAATTATTTTTCTCTAAATAAGCATTACTCCGTTTTAACCCCTAGATTGCATTCTATATAGTTCTAGTTTTTTTTAAACTCTTGAATTATTGATTATTGAAAATTATGAGAATTATTAAAATAAGGATTCTACTATAGATAATTCTCCCCGATCCTAATAGATTCATCACAAATTACTCTTTTTCCTCACACGAACGACACTTCATTCACCATGCATAGAAACACGGTGAACAGTTCTAATTGTACATCGTGTTAGATCTCTAGAAAGCTTGTCTCATTCTTCTGCAAATTAATTAATAAATCATCTTATCTGGACGTCGAACCCGAGACCTCTATATGTAGAACTATTTATTATTATTTTTTCTTTGATCAACATTTTTTCAATTAAATATAAATATGAATTGGTTGCCAAAAATATTCTATCTCAATAATAGATTTACTACTTTATCTTTTTTTTAAAAATTCATATTCATAATTAATTTAAATATACAGAAATAAAACTATTTCAATTATAATTAATGTAGAAAGAAGACCCAAAATTCCATAGAAATCAAGCTTGCAATCTCCCAAACACACCAAAAAAGATTAAAGACATTAGAGGATAATAAACAGTTAACGGCTGGTATAAGCTTAATACTGATGGAGCTTCAAGTGGCAATCCAGGGCTGGCAGCTGGTGGTGGTGTTCTACGTGATGGAGAGGGAAACTGGTGTGAAGGATTTGTACTCAATATTGGTCGATGTTCCGCACCTCTAGCAGAGTTTTGGGTTGTCTACTATAGACTTGTTATTGCCAGGGAGAAACAAGTTTTAAGAGTGGAACCGGAGATTGATTCTAAAATGGTGGTGGTGTTTCTCAAGAAGGGTATCTGCAAGTCCTACCCATCATCATCCCTAGTATACTTGTGTTATGGCTTTTTATCGAGAAACTGGATTGTCCGGGTTCCTCACATGTATAGAAAAGCTAATCACCTTGCGGATAGATTAACAAACTATGCCTTACTTTGCTTTTAGGTTTATTTACTTTTGATTTTGTTCCTGATGTATTGGAGACTATTTGGAGGGACGATGTGGATGGTCTTTCAAGGCCTAGATATGTCGTTTGTGGTCGGTTTAGTTCTTTTTAATACACAACTGTGTGTACGAAAGCAACAAAAATGCAAGAGTAATAATAATTCACTCTCTTTCCTCTTCGTCACTTTCTCTCCCTTTTAACCAATAACAAATATAATATATATACTAGATTTTAACCCGCGGTACACCGCAGACCGCAGAACGACATTTTAAAATGTATTCTTTTTATTATTTTTGTTTGGTATATAAGAGTGTACTACTATATTTTGATTCTTAAGTTTATGATTTAACCCGTAGAATATTATATGATAATTTATTTTTTATGTAATCGTAATTTGAGTAAATTAATTAAATAGTATAATATTTAAAATAATGAAATGATACGGACATAATATTCGTTTACATAATATAATTTCATATTAAAATATTTTTGTCAGTTATACTATAGTAAAAAACCTGTAAAAATATCTATAATCATAATTATGTAAATTATAACCCGTTCCATCACATGACCCGTGCTACACAATTATCAATAATACTTTAGTACATAGATTTTTGTATCGTTTGAGTAATATACATCCGTTTCTAAAAATTCAAATTACAACATATGCAAAAAAAATATTATATTTTTATTATACATATGTTTATGTAATAATATAAATTTAAAAACAAATAAGATCATGTAAAGATGTTGGAGAAATCTTTGATTTATTAGGGAGAGATTTTAGGAAATTTTGTTTAAATGTAATAAATATTGATTTCTAATTTTGCAAAATTATTATGATTTAATTACAAAATTTATCTTAAACTTTTTCTATTTAATCAAATGGTAAGGATTTAATTATGCAAATATTACAAAATAAAAGGGTAGAACACAAAAGGTACTTCAAAAATGTTAATATAGATAAATATATATATATATATATACTAGTATAAAACAAACACTTATATAATTACTTTCCTCACACCTATATATAAAATAATAATTTCATAACAAAAGAAAAATATTTCTGCAAAAAAAAAAAAGAATAGATAAAGAGAATGATAGACAAAGAAAAGTATGTGGTTAAGAACACCATGCGTTGTCGATAGTTGAAAAGTCTGAAAAACAAAATATCAGAAAGAAGGGAAATTAAGTCTTGAAAACATAAAGGTAGTTCTTCCTTAGGATGAGCTAAAGAGCTAAAATCTCTCTTCTTCAAAAGGTTAGTCATTTTTCTTTTAATGTTATCAATCTGTTTTCTTTTGTTCATGGCAAAAAATTTTGTTTACGGTGAATGAAATCTCTGTTTATTTTTCTCCATATATATATCTTTCAAGTTTTGATACTAAAACCTTGTCTATATCCATATAAATTTCTGGCAGTTTGATTGGATCTTACAGGTTACTCACTAGAATAATTAGGTTTAGTTTTTATAGGCTTTAATGGAATTATGAAAATCTTATCCTCTTACGGAACTTGTGATATGTCGCTCTAGTGAATATATTGGGAGATGGAGAACCGGAGATTGGTTGAGAGATCGACGGTCGAGATGATTGCTCAAGAATATGTAAATTATGAAGATGTGAAAGAATCTAGATCCTCTTATTTAGAATATTTACCTTTATGTAGAAATGTATTATTTTCATTAGTCATTATCTCAGTTTAGGAAATTAGGTTTATTCCTATTACTATATATATCGATGTATTATGTAACATTATTTTGGGATGAGTCTAATACAATTCTTCCTTTAAACACTTTTGTGTTCTTTACTCTCATCAGTTTATCAGAATATGTTATGATTAGAAATGTTCGTCAATATTAAGTAACTTGGTTGTTATTTTCTATAATTTTCTATTGGTTTTTCTCTCTTTTGTTTTGATTTTTCTCTATCTATTGATTTGTTCAGCTTGATGTTTTCTTCGCCCTCGCGATTAACATCCTTTTATATTCTGACTTCTTATTCTCGTGACTTATTTTCGCAATCGCGAATTATTCATAAACATCGCAAACGCGAGTTTTGTCCCTTTCTTCTTGAAAAACCCTACGATCGGGTATAAACGTCGTTAATGATCCGACGGCCGGATTTTACAGCCGCTTTGACCCCACGACCGGGTATAAACGTCGATGATGACTCGACGGCCGAGTATAAAGCCGTTATTTTGAAGACTTGTCCAATCTCACACGTGTTACCACGTATGAGCTTGCCGGGGGGTATTGGGAGATGGAGAACCGGAGATCGGTTGAGAGATCGACGGTCGAGATGATTGCTCAAGAATATGTAAATTATGAAGATGTGAAAGAATCTAGATCCTCTTATTTAGGATATTTACCTTTATGTAGAAATGTATTATTTTCATTAGTCATTATCTCAGTTTAGGAAATTAGGTTTATTCCTATTACTATATATATCGATGTATTATGTAACATTATTTTGGGATGAGTCTAATACAATTCTTCCTTTAAACACTTTTGTGTTCTTTACTCTCATCAGTTTATCAGAATATGTTATGATTAGAAATGTTCGTCAATATTAAGTAACTTGGTTGTTATTTTCATTACTATTTAAGCAGGAGGCACTATGGCTACGGAGCTTCTGTCATTTGGAATACAAAATCTTTGGAACCTACTGAGCCATGAACACAAACAATTTCAGGGAGTTGAAGATCAAGTTGATGAACTAAAAACTGATCTAGGCAGATTAAAGTCATTTATGCAAGACGCAGAGGCTAAAAAGCATACAAGTGCGAGGGTGAAGAACTGTGTGGAAGTGATCAAGGAAATCATTTTTGACGCGGAAGATATACTTGAAACTTTTATCCTAAAAGACCAACTCCAAAAAAGTGGTGGCATCAAGGAGCGTATGAGAAGACTTGCTTGCATCATTCCTGAACGCAGGGAAATCGCATTAGAAATTGGAAGCTTAAGTAATAGGATCTCTAAGGTGATTCGTGATATGGAAACTCAAGGAGTACAACAGATTATTGGCGACATGAGGGATCCAGAACCTCTTCCTGAAAGAAAAGAATTCGCTAGACAGGAAAAAAGCAATCTTGTGGGGCTGGAAGAAAACGTAGAGAAGTTGGTTGGATATTTGGTGGAGGAAGATGATGATCCAATTGTTCTAGTGACCGGGATGGGTGGTCTTGGGAAAACCACCCTTGCTAGACAAGCTTTTCATCACGACAAGGTTAGGGAGAAGTTTGATAGACTTGTGTGGGTATGTGTTTCACAAGTTTGTGATCGGAAGAATGTGTGGCAAAATATCTTGCAAAGTTTCAGAACCAAAGCAGAAGAAAACGAAATCATGCAGATGAAAGAAGAAAGACTCCAAGATGAACTCTCTAGATTGTTGGAAACATCAAAATCATTAATTGTCATTGATGACATATGGAAAGAAGAAGATTGGAACCTAATCAAGCCAATATTTCCACACAAAAAAGGTGATGATGACCTTTTATACTACTTAATGAAAGAAAGATAATATTCCAGTTCACACTCATTCTGCTCTCTGTGTTATATTAATTTTTAAGTTGTACAGGTTGGAAAGTGCTACTTACTTCACGAAATGAAAGAGTCGCTGGACGTGAAGAACCATTTATCAACTTCAAACCAGAATGCCTATCTGATGAAGACAGTTGGACACTTTTCCAAAGAATAGCGATGCCAATGAAAAATGCATCCGGTAAGCATTCAAATGAAGGATATATATATATTTTATAGACTTTGATCACATAAATAATGAAGGGATCTGGTAAGCATTCAAATGAAGGGATGATCGCAAGAGATAGCTTTTTTTTTTTTTGAATTAAATTGAATGTAAAATTTTATTCAATCAAAAACCATGTGTACAAAGAATGCTTCAGTTGGTTTGAAAAATTAGAAAGTATTTGGAAAATAAAACAGAATTTAAAAAGTTATATGTGAATATTAGCGGGTGGAGAACCAGAGACGGAGACCATCGTCATAACGAGGATCACCTATGTCTCGGAAGACATAGCTTTAAAATAGCTTATTGTAGTATATAATTATTATATCATACTGAACTGAAATTCTTTCATGGTATAAATGATGTATTTTTTATTTGTTTGATGATGTTGTGTAGAACCGAAGAAAGTTGCTAAGGAAATGGAAGAGATGGGTAGACGAATGCTTAAACATTGTGGGGGATTGCCTTTGGCTGTCAGGGTGTTAGGAGGATTGTTGGCTGAAAATTACACAGAACTCTACTGGGAACGAGTATCTAAGAATATTGAATCTCATCTCGTTGGAAGAGCCAATGACGGCAACAACAATTTATTGAACCGTGTATTGTCTCTGAGCTTTGAAGAGCTGCCTAGTCATTTAAAGTATTGCTTCCTCTACTTGGCCCATTTTCCAGAAGATTACGAAATAAGTATCGAAAAATTGCACTATTACTGGGCTGCAGAAGGAATAATCAAGTATACCAATGGAGAGAGCATTAGAGATGTTGGAGATAGCTACATAGAAGAATTGGTAAAGAGAAATATGGTTATATCTGAAAGAGTCAGTACCACTTGGAGATTTGAAGAATGCCGTTTGCATGACTTGATGAGAGATCTTTGTTTGTCAAAAGCAAAAGAAGAGAACTTCCTACAAATTGTCGGTAACAGCTCCCCGTCTGTTAGTACATCTCGGAGATTTGTCTCACATGAACCGTCTGCATTACATGTTGAGAGAGAGAGAAATAATTCAAAGGTTCGATCTCTCATTGTTCTCAAGAAGTATTTGACGAAATACGGTTGTAAAGTTTCCTGTGTAAGCTTTACAAGGTTACAAGTGCTGAGAGTATTACATCTCCCTAGAGTCACTTTCAAAGGAAGGAAGTTACCTTCTGGCATTGGAAAGCTCATCCACTTAAGATATCTGAGCTTAGAAGGTGCGGACATATCTTATCTACCCTCTTCTATAGGAAATCTAAAGTTGCTGATCTATCTAAATTTAGATGTGTTTAGAAGTCCTATATTTGTGCCTAATGTCTTGAAGGGGATGAAAGAATTGAGATACCTTAGATTACCATATGCTATGCATATGAAGACAAAGTTGGAATTGAGCCATCTAGTAAACTTGGAGATCTTGACTAATATCTCAACAGAGAATTGCAGTTTAGAGGATCTTTGTGGTATGACCATGTTGAGGATTCTTCAAATCAGATTAACTGGTGAGAGCAGTTTAGTAACCCTATCTGCATCGATAGGTGGAGCTAGACACCTGGAAACTCTTGATATAAGACTTAGCGGGGCTGCTAAGGGGACGAAAGAATGGAGAAGTCTATTCGAATTCCTTAATCTCCAACAGCTGAATTTGGTGATAAATATTCCATTGTTATCTGATGAATTACAATTTCCTTCAAGCCTTACAACCCTATTTCTAGAGGGGTGTCGTTTGGAGGAGGATCCGATGCCCATTCTAGAGAAGTTTGGTAAATTGAAAATTGTTCGTTTGCATGGAAATTCTTTCTGTGTGAGGAGAATGGTTTGCTCTAGGGGTGGGTTCCCTCAGTTGCAGTCACTACATTTTTTTGAATTAGATGAGTGGGAAGAATGGATAGTAGAAGAAGGCTCCATGCCCCTTCTCAATTCTCTTGAGATTTGGTTTTGCAAGAAACTAAAGGAGATTCCTGATGATGTGCTGCGATCCTTAAAGGATCTGAGTTTTTATGATATGGGAGAGGATTGTAAGAATAGATGGTCGGAAGGAGGAGCAGATTATTACAAAGTCAAACACATCCCTTCTGTGTACATGTATAACCAACTCAATGAATGAATTCTGGAACTAGCAGGTAAAACATGAATTCCTCAATTGCCATTTAAGAATGAATTTCATTGGAACTTGTTTGATGCTATGTGACTATGTGTTGCAGATTATGATGGTTTTCAGTTTCATCAACTGGATGAAGCCCTTGAAGGTATTCGACGAAACGTCTAGAAACTCTTTAGCCTCTCTGATAAAACTTTTTTTTTTTTTCTGAAGGAGAAATGAAGTGTTTGTTGGCAAAATATACCATGTCACATTTTTTCTAATAGAAACAAACATTTGTTCTGGATCTCATTAACTTTTTCTTTTTGGTTCTTATGTTTTTGTAGCCGACCATGATCTGAACTGAATCTCGTACCAACTCGGGCACCAGCGAATCAACCGAATAATAAACGAGACTATGTTATGCTTTGTGGTTTGGATCAAAACTGTTTTTTTTTTTTTAAAGTTGTATGTTTTATGTTTGCTGGTTTGAGTATTGAATGATACACTTATCTAAACCTTGTGTGTTGCTGTATAATGAAACCTTGTGGTTTGTATCAAAACTGTTTCTTTTTTATATGTTTGCTGGTTTGAGTAAATGATACACTTATCTTCCTTATTCGATCATATTCTTGAAATCAAATATAGCTCATTGGGTTTTTGGTTTTTGTTCTATTTCAGCAATTGTTGTTTCTTCTTCTTAAAACTTTTTTTTTTGTTTGTGTTGTTGATGGTCATATCGTATTTTCTTGATCACAGATACTTTATTCATCGGTTAAGTTGTATCCTTTAGGCATCTAACATTGGACCTCATATATCATACTGACTAACCATGATAATCATCTACTGAGGGAATTAAAATTTTAAAATTAGTTTTCACCACCAAGTCTTGCTTTATCCAAGATCCCCCTTGTATAATGAAATTTAACCAAATTTCCAGTTCATTACAGTTGGTTAAAACCTATGCTTAATCAACCAATTCGATCACTTCTGTTTTACTTGCAAGTCTCTGCTTCTTTTTTTTTTTTTTAATAATGAAAGAGATTCTGGGCCGAAACTCATACATCCCCAGACCCGAAACCATAGCATGTTATATGGTTTCGTCCCAAGCGCTACTCGAACCGGTGACTTTTGAGCTTTTGCCAAATATCTTTACCAGTTGAGCTATTAGAGCATGGGCATCAGTAAGACTCGGAATTTTATTTTTTTTTAATAGATTTTTTTTTTAAAAAAACATGTAACCAATCGCGGGCCGCCACATGTCAGTGGGGCCCGCGAATAGTGAAACACAAAGCAGAGAACGGTCCCGTTTGGAGGTACGTCCCTTTTATATATTTTCTTTTTTGATTTTTTTTTCTTTTTGGGTGTGGGACTGGACAGGGACTGCCAATGCCCATGCCTTTAGCACTTGGTAGTCTCTGCTTCTTCTTTTATTCATTAAAAAAGAAGTAGCTTGCAACAGCCAGTCTACTATCCAGTGGGATGTTTTCAAGGGAATGATTCACATAAAAAGCATATACATGTGTAGACTATCTAATTGATACAACTTATCTAGAGTGCATTAAATTCATAGCAATGTATGTACAAGGCCTATCTGATTACTGACAGCTGATCAGCTGCGGACTCTTTACTGCATAGTCCAACTTCTCAGTGACTTCTTTGGTCAAGTTAAGAAACTCGATCGAAACCCAGCTCTGCTCCTAATCTTGCAACAATTACAATAAAAACTAAATATTTTGAGCTCAAAGGTTTGGATTTTGCTTTATCCATTATAAAGTTTTTAAGACTTACTTAGGATCCAATACCAGTTTTTGAACCTCTTTGATAGCTGAACTTGCTGCGTATAGCGACAACTTTCCAATCTAAAACCCAAAAACTTCAACAGTTTAGCAATAAGGCATTTGAGGGTTAATGCTATAAAAGGAATCAAGAATAGTTTTGTTTTGGTACCTCTACAATCTGATGTTTTTGCCTCATGGTGGTTAGGTAAACATCGAATCTCTTCAGCTAGTCTCACGCCCTCCGTAACGCTTTCAGGAAACTAGAAGTCGAATGCTATCTGAACGTTCGACTATGTTTATACATATATGTGCAAGAATCAGTTATTATGTAAACAAACGAGAAAAGAAAGTGTTTCCCTCTTTTCCTTTTAACCGTTAGATTCTTAACTTGGAAGGTAGAACCAACCGGAATAAAAATGGCTTCACCACGACGCTGCTCAAATGACAATGGCTCAACTCCTGAAACGTATAAAGAAGATTAAGTGTCTCGTTCTTTCAACTTTTCCACGGGATACACAAAACGTTTGATTTGCTTACCAAACTCTTGTTTTAGTTATCTCTTGTGGTATTCGTTTAGGTAATGTCCTTCATATAACTAGCATGATGCCTAAAACACACAGAAAAACACTCAGAAACGAAACGCAACGGTTAATTAGATGCAGCAACTGAATGATTTTAGATGATAACACTCAAAAAGTCATCTGTACAATACTTAGGAGGGTTCTGAAATATTCTCGTTTTCATTTTCAGATACTTAGCGAGCTTTGCATTGTCTTGACACCTGAAGATATCCCATTGAGCTCCGCTACAGTCCGTGGGAGAAGATTCCAACTTGTGATCTTGGTTCAGAGCTTTCCTCTCTTTTGTTGCATCTACCATTCCTTCAGATGTATGCACTAACAGGTAAACCATATCACACATGTTGTAGTGAAGATGAGTAACTGAATCGCCTTGACCAAGTTCTTGATAGTTCCCACAAGAAACGTGGATCTTTGGACCTGAATCAACTTGCTTGCAACATTCAGAACACCCAACCGTGGATGAATGTACACAAGAAGCGGCAATCTACTGATGAACTCAGGTCTCTGGTAAAAAACAAACTCCTCTGAAGCACTCGGGCTTGGCCAGTCAACTTACATAATAGAGGGAGACCGTTCTAACGACTTCTTTTTCCTCTA